TCCCTTATTCCATACTTGCTTTATTCTTCATAAGTGCTTAGCACCATATAAGGAAATTTATAAAGACCTTTTAACTAGAAGCAAGCAATCTAAAATTACATACATTTTGCAAAAGGTAAAGCATGGATCTGAAGATAATGCAGAAAAATGCTCAGAGGATAAGGATAACTTGCCAAAAAGAAAATGCTCTCGATTAATTAATAGTGTTTTTAGTGATGACGAAGAAAATATTGTTTAATTTATAATAATATGTATCACTTAAAAAAATTGTAATGAAGATATTTATCTTAATTATGAAAATATACTAGCATGTTTTTTTAATTTTTGGAACCTAACCCTCCTTTTCGTATTAGTTCTTTGTTTCGTATAACACGGCAATTTTTTGGAACGTAACTACCGTGTTATACGGGGGTTACCTGTACATGTACAAAAATAGGATCAGAATAGTTGTTTTTAGGTGATGTCAGTACTTCTAGGAGTTTCCTTTAGTTATTATGATTACACAGAGTCTAGCAAGCATCAATGTCACCAACTCAGCTGCACAGAAGGTGGCATTCCATTCTGCTATTAAAGTATTCTTGAGGGCATTTTTGGAGGTGATATTTGTTTTCCTGACATTTTCATCAAGAATTTTCTATATATGTTCTGTTGGATTAATGTCTAGAGATTAGATAGAGTATTGAGTTGTGCAGAAGTGTAATACACTGGGTCACATTTTGGTATTATAAGCAGTATGCTTCAGATCATTGTCTTGCATAAAAATATAGTTGTCTTGGAGGCCCTTCATTCACACTATTGGAAAGGTTAAAGCATATAATGTTTATGTAATAACATAAGTCTCCAACAGCTGGAACATTGACAAATTAAAACAACATACCATACACACAATCTTTCAGCACAATATTCTCTAACATTCTGTAATGATCGATGCTTGATGCAAGCCCCTAAAAGAGGCCAAAAATGTTTCATTTGTATTTTATTCAAACATACAATATTGTCCTGGAAGATTGTATGTATGGTATGTAGTTTTAATTAGTTTATGTAATACTTGTAGTCCATGATTCCCTCAATAATATGCAAATTTCCAATCCTCAGCACTCATGTAGCCTCAGATGAGGACAGATCCTTCCTGCATGCTTCACTGTAGAGTCAAATGTTTTAGGTTCATCTCTTCATTCTTCTTTCACCACATTATCCTTTTGCCATCAGAGTCAAAAACATTGAATTTGCTGTTGTCAGTGAATACTACTCATTTACAAAAGTCTTTACAACATGAAAATAAGGACAAATAGAAATCAAGGAATTTCTTCCTGTTTTGTTTGTTCACCCAGAATTTCTTTCTTGCTACTCAAACATTACAGTCTTTTGTTTATGTGCATTGTGGATTGTACTGGCTGATACTCTCTCACCACTTTTACCCAAGTCAGCAGCTATCATAGAAGCACTAATCTTAAGGTCTTTTTTTGATACAACAAATTATTACAGACTTCTCATTTTGTCAGGATTTTGGGACAGAAACTTCTTGATTTATTCTTCAATGCCTTTCTAACTCCATATTAATCAATAATGCCTTGAATAGTTGATCAAGGCTGAACAACCAGCTTTAATTTAATAATTTGGTCTGATCATGAAGCTTAATTATCACTCTCTTTGTTTTATCCTAGTAGTTTCCTTGCCCTTTCGGTCCATATTTCTGCAAATAGTTGCTGTTACAGTTTTAGTACAGTGATCTGATAATAGGACAATGGTAAAGACAATTTCTGAATATAGCTGTCACTAAGTCATGTAGAAATGTTAACGCAATCCTTTGGTCAGATGTATGAATACTTTTTGTACACTGCAAAGCAGCATGTTTGAGTACTGGTTATTAGAATGCAGAATTTATTAGATCTGTGCATTCCTATCAAGTGATTCATCTAGTGTCACTCCGTAAGAAACACAGGATGTTCATCCTGTTAACTTATTTGCATAAAATGGTGCTGAAAAGGTTAGACTTAACCAAAAGTAGGAAGGGTACAAATACTTTTTGCACTCACTGTAAACAGAATAGTTTTCAGAATGTTAAGAATCTTAAAAAATTTTAATGTTTTAAAAATATATTGATAATTATATAACTATTTGTTCTAAAGAAACTTACCTGTTATCTTAGTAGAACATTCATTTACTTTATGTTCTGTAGATCCACATTTAAAACAAATACCAGTGCCTTGTTCTGTATCATTTAACAATGCAGGACATTTAGCAATTTGATGACCAGGCTCTCTACAGTGAAAGCAAACCTATAAATAAGAACTGCTTAACCTCATTTCTATATACAGTATATATACAAGGTAAACCAAAAAGAATATACGTATTTCAAACTGATATATTTAATAAACTGTAATTTTAATTTAATTTTAATAAAAAGCCATTTTACAACAACAACCAAGCACAACTGACATCTGGGGGACAAACTAGACAATGCACTCGTTCCTCCGATACCCGCAGCACACCGCTACTATCGATAGTTTACTAAATATATCAGTTTGAAATACGTATATTCTTTTTGGTCCACCCTGTATATTACATATAAATCAATAATAGGACATTGTTCACTGTATAATTCTTCTAAACAGTAGCAAATAATTGGCAAATAAATACATAAAAAACCTAATTTTTTAAATTAGATTTAACAATGAAAAATCAAATTAGCTTTAAAAAGAAATAAGTACAATATTTATGTTTAGATACTGATATAGTTATTGATTTTGTTTAGTTTGTTTGTACAATATAAATTTATTCTTTAAGTGATATTAATTATTTAAAATTCATATACAGTAGACCCCCCTATAACGTGGGTTCCTATAATGCAGATTCCTATAACGCAACGAAAAAATTGCGACAGTATTCATATAAAGACGCTAAAAGGCACGCATAAAATGCGGTAAAATGTCATCGCTGACTCATGTTGCGACAGGATTGGTTGAATCTGGACCAATAGTAGACGAGCAGCCGAACTACTTACACACTATGGAGAGTTTAGACGGGTAAGTTGAGTTTACTATCATCTGTACAGTATTATTATCGTCTGTACAATATTAACTTAATTTATTTTAACTTTATTATAATTATATATATACTTTCCGCCGTCCAGTGCCATGCTACGGAGAGTTTAGGCGGGTAAGTTGAGTTTACTATCATCTGTACAGTATGTAAATTAGGTACCGTAAGTCTAATACAGCACTGTAATTTTATACATTTCTTGTGAAAGAAACATTTCTTATTCAACGGCCATAAAAATTATTTATATTAATGATGTCTCCAAAGTTCAACAAATTTTTCGCAGAAAAATAACATCAGAAATCGCGGCCGCCGTTTGATGCGCTGTTCCGCGACGAAACCAAGCTTTAGCAACGAGCGTAGTCAAAGGGTACACACTCGGTAAGTAATCCTACAATTTTTTGTTTATA